AAAAGTCTTCAAAATCGTTATCTGAAATCATCTCTTTAATTGGACTATAATCTAACTTTGGCTACAATCTCTGTGGACGATAATCCGGTACTTGTACCACTTTATTACTTGGAAAGACGATGTTGGGCTGTATTATATACTTGCTTTTCGGCCCAATTTCATTAGTCTAGAGGTGTGAAATATCTTTGACACTTTTGACAAGCGACCAACCCGTCGGGAGTTACGTTTTGAAAAACATAAATGACAAGTCTCCTTGTCGGCAACTTTCTCAAGTCTACCTCTTATGTCATCCAAGTTGACGTGCTTAATGATGGTTTATCTCTAAGTCCATCGCACTTTAACACTTTCAAGTGATCAACNGCTTGTCAAAAGTGTCAAAGTGTGATATATTCAGAGATGAAATATCAAGAACACGCCAACTCAAATGATATGGGAATCGACTCAAGAGAGTGATTTTTAACAAAAAGATTTGTTTGTCCATATATTTTGAATACACCATCGTGTCACTATCCCCGGTCCAGACACCACATGGAAAGCTATAAGATAATGCAATGGTGAAGTCCGAGGGGAATGCCTTCAAAATAGATGGTGGAACTTAGTTTCGAAACACTGCTTGCTGTAGCATTGCTACAGCATTGGCTGCTGGAATTTGTGTTTGGGTCTCACCTTAAGTCTTGCACCCTTGCTTCTTTTATTTATTCTGTATTCTGTTTTGGATAATCTTAAAATCAAATAAAAGTCTTCAAAATCGTTATCTGAAATCATCTCTTTCATTGGACTCTAATCTAACTTTGGCTACAATCTATGTGGACGATAATCTGGTACTTGTACCACTTTATTACTTGGAAAGACGACGTTGGGCTGTATTGTATACTTGCTTTTCGGCCCAATTTCATTAGTCTAGAGGTGTGAAATATAACCGACCAGTCACCGAAAGGTAGGAGACGATCCAGGGTTAAAGATCTATGAATCGCCATATTGAGACTCTGAATCGACACGTTGGGAGGAGGGGTAGAAATTGATAGGGTGAGGCATGAAGTTCTTAGGAAGAGTTTGGCATCGATTACTTGTACATCATGCTTACAATGTTGTTTCTAAGATATATAGATAGATAGGGGTATTTTGGGCATTTATAATTTTAAGACTTAAAGACTTTTAGTGAATTTGCTTAATAAGGTAGTATAGATAAGCAAATTACATTTTTGGTCCTTATGTTTTATCATTCCAATTTAAAAGCCACCATAGTATGCAAATTTGTGCAGAATTGATCCCTCCTAATAATTGTTAACTTGCAACCGTTAAGTGAAGGACATTTCAATCTTTTCCTATTTTCTATTTTTTAATCTAAATAAATAATATCATTTCAATATTTGTGTATATTTACATATATATATATATATATATATAGAGAGAGAGAGAGAGATATAGGGGGGGGGGGAGCGATCAAATGCAAACCATTCATCTTTATATAAACCGTGCAAACCACTTTCATCCATCGGTTTCATTGTTTAATTTTATGAAAAAATTTCTTGAAATTGTTTCATATAATACTTTTTTTGATGAATTTGTTTCATATAATACTTATGAAATTTTAAGGAAACTATTACATGTATTTTTCTAAAATTAATATAATGACGATGATAATATACATGATTAACATTTTTCACAATGAAAATCATTAATCAACGTCTCATAATTACAAAAAAAAATGAACAAAGTGAAAAATCATGATTGATTGAGTGAGGTTTGTACAAATAATGTGATTTGCAAAGTAACTCTCATATATATATATATATATATATATATAGAGAGAGAGAGAGAGAGAGAGAGTTGGATTCATGTGAGACCAGCCTATTTTCGTGAGACCCGTGAGACCACATTTTTACACTTGAAACTTCACAGCAAAAACACTATGAATGTTAAAAAAAGTCGAACCTTCATAGCAAAAACACTAAGAAGGTTAAAAAAAGTCACCTTCACAGCATTTTGTTGTGAAGTTTCAAGTGTAAAAATGTGGTCTCACATGTCTCACGAAAACAGGCTGGTCTCACATGATCTCAAGTATATATATATATATATATATATATAGGAGTACTATCATCGATACGGTTATCATAACAATTCACAATTTTGAATCCCCTAAATTACTCAATCAGTTGTCTTTTTTGACACTATTAAACATTCAATCAATATTGCTCATCAAAATAACAACATGAAATATGCAAAATCACAACTTTGTATCACTAAAGCTAAACATAATGAAATATGCAAAATCACAATGTATCACAACTTGAATCAGAGTGTATCACATTGGTTATTGAAGAATGGGATACGGATTGACGGGCACAAAAGCCATCTCTATCAATCTACGCTACGTTCATGGAGTGTATCATAGTGAAAATGTTCACAGTGTTAATAGAGTTTCTTGAGGGTATCACTTTGGTAATGTGTCACAACATGTATCAAAAGAGATATGGATTTGAATCTAGTAGCATTCGCCGAAGGAGAGAGGACAGAGGAGGAATTTACAAAAGGACTATTTTACCCATAAATATTATCTATAAACTCCAAAATTCTGAAAATTAATAGAGGATTACCAAAATTAACATTATTAATATTGATAATTGATTATTAATAATCAGAGGTTGATATTGGATATCACAATTATCATAAATTACTGAGTTCTCCCTTAAATGTCCTCTATTATATTATTCTAATACACACACACACACATACAGATGCTAGTTGTGTAGCCACCTGATGCAACGCATGTGAATCACAATTATGAAGCCAATAACTCATCCATTAATCATTTTTCAATGTTTCGGTCTATTTTTCGTCCCTCTCAATTTAGTTTCTATAGGTTTGTGTGTTTAATTGACAATCAGTTACTAAAATAAATATGGTTTATTGGCAAGATATCTGGAAAAAAAATTGCAGGAGTTAGAGATGGCCAAATCGGCCTGGGACTGATTAGGGCCGGTTTGGGACCGTTGGTTAAGACTACCTCCATTCACAAACCAAACCAACCTAAAAATGAATAAGACAAAAATCTGTTAATTAAAAAAAAAAAAAAAATTGGAAGTGGTTGTGTTTGTGTTTGTGCAAACTGTTTGCACACGCAAACAAAGTTCACAACATTATTTTATTACTAAATAGATTTTAGGATAGATTTTAGAATGAGGTGGTATCTATTAATTGGTTGTTTTATAAATTTTTTTAGGATAAAACTTATCTGGTTAAAAAGATAACTTTAATAAAAATATCAAAAATAAAAAAATATACCAAAATTCATATTTTTCAATTCCCTACAAATAGAGACCAATCTTGACATATTTTCAACACACCAATCTTTCTCTTCATTTCAATACTCTCATTTTCTTGAAAATTCAATTTTTTTCAAGTTTTCCTCAATGGATCCAAACCAGCAAATTTTTTGGATTAACTCTCAACATTCTGATAATTCTCAGTATATCCCTGAAAATGTTCAAACCTCACAAAAAACCTCAAGAACCGACCATCCATGGGACACTAAAGAAGATATGGCTTTAATGTCGGCATGGGTTTTTGTTAGCGAAGACCCTACTCGTGGCAAAAACCAAAAGAAGGGAGCGCTATTTTCACGAGTGAAAAAATACTATGATGAAACTCGAGAAGAAAACCCAGAAGGAATGCGCGAAAGGAACGAAAATCAAATGAAAGGTCGTTGGACGCGACTTAACGAAAATGCAAACAAATGGGTTGCTGCTTACAAAGAAGCATATCGTCAAAAAAGAAGTGGAATGAGTATGGCAGATGTTGAGAAAGGAGCTCATGCAATTTATGAGGGGGGTGGGAAAAAAGTTTTTAGACTTGCTTGTATTCAACCAAGTTATGTGTAAACATCCCAAGTGGGAAATAAAGTTAGACTGTGACACTACATGTTCTCGTACGGAATATGAAATGGGTTGTGAAGATAGTGGTGGAAGTACGAAAAGGTCTAAAACTACGGAAGAAGAAGACACCGACCAAGAATCTCCGATTGTTGGTCATTCAACGATTCAGCGTCCTACGGGTAGAGATGTGGCTAAAAAGAGAGGAAAAGGTAAGACATCACAATCTTCTTCATTTTCTAATGATTTTTCTACAGAACTTCATGCAATGATGATTACAAGAAACAATGAAGTTGAACTTTTGACAAAAAAACTGAACTTTGACAAAGAAAAATTTGATGTCCATCAACACCACAAAAATCTACGTATACTGATGGCGAAAGAACATCTGTCACCGGCAGAGGAGGCKTTGAAAGAACGTYTTTTGGCAATGTTGTATGGATAGTGATATTATGTATTAGTAATTTATTCTTCCGTGTATTTTTTTAATTTACGTATTATGTATTAGTAATTTAGTATTTCG